TGACACATATATCCCAGTTAATCCAATTAATGTGTGTATTTATTATTTATTTCCTTTTTACCCCCACCCCCCCAGCATTAAACTATACAAAAATGCGTATTTTGCATAACGATCATGAAGTTCCTTTCTATGTTAAACAAATTCTGTCAGATTTATAAAAATATATAAACATACACTTCTTAATGGGTACATAAACAATAACAAGTTTGCATATGAAAACATCTCAAGTTCTCTTTCATTAAAAAAAGTACTGGTACTTCATACTAGAGTTAGGCAAAACTTTCAAAGTTGATTGTGTTCAGTTAAAAATATTTCCCTGACAACCCCCCCCCCAAAAAAAAAATTAGAATAAAAATATAGCATTCCACCAGTTTTTTTTACTATAAAGTTTGTTTGCAAATGTAGAGAACTTGATACTTCTAAACTCTTTCTGATTCTACAATAATATCAAGGAATTAAATTTATCTAATAAATAAAACTGTAAATAAACTGTACATTTTAAAGCAACAAATGACAACATTACTGTAATCTGAATTGATTACTAACTGCTGACAATATTATTTAATGCACCTAAAACTTAGAATAAAATTGATTTTTAAAAAATGCACAATTAAGTTTTTGTTGTTTCTGTTTTATACCTTTTTACACAGTTAAACAGGCTCATTCAACTATAAGAAACGTAATCAAACTGATGAACATTTGAAACAATAAACTATATAATACAAGGATTACTAATATAAACTTTGTAGCTTCAACTAATGTTTAAAATATAGCATATAATTAGTCTAGTACTTATGAAAACCAAAAACCCTTATGTAACAAGAAAAAAGTTTTAAGTCTTATTGATTTGAATATTGATATTAATTTTTCTTCTTGGTCAACATGTGTGTATTAAACATCAGTGCCTGTAACTTTGGTTTAATTCTTTTTTAGATTGATGATTGTATCATGTTTATACCATTACTGTAAGCTAACAGAGTAATATCCAATAGAGAACTCTTAAAACATGTATGCATTTGTAATAAACATACTTTCTCAAGTGGTGCATTTTACACTGAAGATGCCATACAGAGGCACTGTAAATACTAGAAAAAAGCTTTAAAATATTACAGTCACTAATATAAATCCAAAATGGGTGGAGGAATACAAATTCAGTATATTAGTTCACAATGTTTCATAGATGTAAGGCATAGACATTTTATTGGTGCTGAGGTAGCTTATATAAGGAGGATATTTCAGTAAATACAACATAAATCACATGCCACTACTCAAAAAATTAAAAATTCATTGATTGAGGCTAACTGTTGACTTCATCCTTCTAAAAATAAAACAAAACTCGCAACTGAGATATGCCAAACTTAAGTAAAATAAAGTATAAACCTTTTAAAATGTTTAAACGCTTTTGTGAATTTGATAAACAACGAATGTTTATGGTACAATATACATACCTTTTTAAATATAATTTCACCTCAAACGAGCCTAAATAGGTGTAAAAATAAATTTACTAAAATTGCAAAATATTTATTCAGTAACCCTCAAATAGAAAAACTAATTATCAAACAAATAAATAAAAAAATGGGAAACATTTATAGTATCAGGTTAGCTAAGACATTTATTTTTTCCACTTTTATGTGTTTATTGTCACATTTCTTTGCCTTTATGTGTTAATTGTCACATTCCTTTGCCTTTGTTTGTGTTTAATGTTTTAAATATATATTTCACTGGTCCATCAATGTTTTTTGTTACAAACTGGTTAAATGTAAAATGATTATAAAGAAAGTCGTTTAACGTTTTTTAAAACTGTTCTGAAAGCATTATTAAAACTGTATTACTGAGGTTTCATTTTGAAAAATATGATTTAGCCAGTTAGTCGGTGAAAGAGTTTCAGGTTTAACATCCAAGTTATAAAAGTAGTTTGACAAGAAGAAAAGTGTAGAGTGAGGTAATACATGCCTCCAATTCTTAGTAGTTTATAAAGTTTGTAATAGAGCAAAGTGAAGAAAATTGTCTGTATTCCAAAAATGTTAAATTTTGAATACTAGTAGTACCAGACACAAATCAATCATTTTCTCCTGTGGTAATCTAAAATGAGTTCTTTGAGATTTACAAGCAATAACATTGTAAACTAACTTCTGTCTTAAATATGTTCAAGATTTAGTAAACAATAAGATCAGATTATAACAAGTTATATAAAATAAGTAAATTGATAAAGTAGAAAATAACAGCACAGTTACTGCTAACTGATGTGAAAGCCAGCTGTAACACGACACAAAGACAGCAGTCATCACATATCAACAACATTCTGCTTCCTGGAGGAAGAAGTACGAGTGATATTAAGAGGTACTTATAACTAACAAATAATCATAATAGTAAAGATATGAAGTATTCAGAATTTGTGAACCTAAATGTATGAGATTAAAATACAAAACACACCAATTAATCATTTTCAAAACTTCAAACATCAGTAAAAAGCCCACTTAATAAGTGATTGGATTTACCACATTCCTCTAGTACATACTTCATCATTATTCTAATTTACAGTATTCTCTTAACACAGAAAAAAGTTAAGTTTCAATATTATATATGACTTTTGCATGTAGTTGTACTTTCTCTCTCAAGCTATATATTTCTCATGCTTGAAAAAAAACCCTCTAAAGCACCTTATTCAGACTGGTAATGAAACTTTAAAAGTTTTTCCAAACTTAAATGTCACTAATGTACTGAAGTGACAATGTAACAAGACACTGAAAAATTATATTTCAGAAGGTGATTAATTAAAACTATTCTTAAACCACATGTAAATGTAACTACTACTTCAACGCTCTGGTGACCCTGCTAGCCATACTAAAATGGTCTCTTGGAAGGCACGACTGGTGTAGCGAGGATCAAGATCAGGCCAAAAGTCGTGGTACATCTTGGAAGCATGAGTCCCAAAAACATCCATTACATGGCGGTTGATCAACTCAAGTCTAAAAAAATACCAGTCATGGTGTCATGATCTTTTTTAAACAAAAACAATATGACACAGAAATATTAAATTATTTGTACACTTTTTGTATTTCAATTGATTTAGAAAACATTATGATGAAAAACCATAACATATAATTTAAATAAAGCTACAACAAAACTATCTGTTTATTAATAAAAATATATATTATTTTTAAAAAATGTCTTCAGAAATAAAATTAATAAATAATACATTCTCAGTAAACGATTGCTATTACACATACCTGCCAGGTTTTGGCTCAAAAATACCAAATCTCACCCACAAAATGTTAATAAATAAAAACACTGAGTAGAATTTCAACTACTGTTCTCTTGAATTTTTTTTTTTTAGCTAAATGTTCATCAGTTTCACACCTGATAGTAATTTTCATGTAAATGATCTATTTTAGAGGTTTTTCCATGTTCTTCATTTATTTATCTACATATATCAAATAATTAATGTACTTTGTTTTTAAAGTCCCAAAAATTATTCCTCGAGTTCTGATTTCATTCTTCTTTTAGAAACATCAAAAATATACAACATTATACTACTTTTATATTAGATTATCTCATCAATTGTTATTTGGTAACAAAACCAGATGAAACTTTACTACAAAACCACATGCAAGTCATTTTTTTCAACTTAAGATGATGGAACTTCAAAACAATTTTTTTAATTATTTGTGAAACAAATGGAACAACTACAGCATAATTGTTGACATCTTTCAGCAAAAAACAATTACACTAATGTTCTTTCAGGTGTAAAAGGTAATTTCTTGGAATACACAGAATATAGTTAACACTTATTCTTAATCCTGAGATCCATTTTTAAAAAACTTTAGTACTTTTATGCAAGCTAATGAGGGTGAAATTCCATACTCCTTTCTAAAGAAGTATTTCTATGACAAAAGAAAATTATTTATGTGATAATTCAGAAAACTCCTTATAAAATATTAAACTTTCTTTCATCAAAATATCTGTTAAATATCTAAACATTCAAAAAACCAATGCCAATACCAACTTAACCATCTCCAGGGTGGACTGATTCATTCAATTTAAAATTTAAAACAATAACTGCTACTCCACCTAGGTCCACCTTTACATACAGACACACCACCACCAGATCATTCAGAAATTTCCTGAAAATAAAAACTGTGTGGACAATCTAAACTTCTCCTGTAAGAAATTTTACACCGGTAAAACAAACAGCCATCAATGATCACATGCATCAAAAACGAAAGCCAAACCAAATTGACAGCGACTAAACAAACCTTTAAATTACAATTCCAACTGGAAATGAAGGAAATATTTAACATTAAATTGAGAAAACCAAATGAGACTAAAGACTTCAGTCAATAAACTTCTCCTGGCTCCAGTAAACTTAAAACTATTTCACATGTACATTTTACTTTCTGAAATTCTACATCCCTCATTCTTTTTCAGTCAAACCCCTTTTTCTCTCACTCGGTTCTACCCAACTCACTAACACTAACCCAGAGATAAACTGAGCTAGAAAGTTTAATTTTTAATTTCCAACAACCACAAGTGAATGAATCATTACAATTGTTAAACTTTCTTTCAGCAACAACATAAAAAACCTGTCATTTAAATTTTATATTGGAAAATTCACATCTTTGAGTTAATTGAACTGTACTACAATTAAAGAACTGACTCTATATCCTAATACATAAATCTATTCATTGTTCATCCTTGGGATTTTACAACTTTGAGCTTACATTTTCTTATTGTGAAAATACTGTATTAAAAAAATAAACATTATTGCAAGTAATACTTGTTAATATGTTGATCTAAACTTTTTTCTTTCTAACACAAAAATGTTATAAAA